CAGCTCCCTCAACACCCTTGGGTGGAGGGCATCTGGACCTGCAGATTTAAAAATGTCTAGCCCTTCCAGAAGATCCCTAACTACATCTGCGCTGATTGAAGACCTAACAGAGCTATCCCTGAGATTGTCCTTACCTCTGGTGGGTGGGATGTCCCGGTCCCTGTTGAAGAAAACAGAGGCAAAGAAACTGTTAAAAATACCAGCTTTCTTGTCTGGCATAGCCACAAGATTACCGTTTGCGTCTTGCAGGGGCCCTACATTGCCTGGTGCCCTCTTGTTGCTCCCAGTGTACTTGAGGAAGGACTTTTTGTTGTCCTTAATCCTGGACGCTAGGCTGAGCTCCATCTCTGCCTTGGCCTTCCTAATAGCCCTCCTACACTCCCGGGCTGAGGAGGAGTACTCCTCTTTGGCGATAGCTCCTCCCTTCCACTGGTTGTATGCCCCCCCTTTAGTCCTCAGGCATTGCTGAATGCCCTCGCTGAGCCAAGGGGGTTTCTGAGCACTCTTACCCCCCTTGCTTCTCTCAGGGACTGTTATCCTTTGGGCCTGGAGGATCGCCCCCTTAAGGTGTGACCATCCCTCATTGACTCCCATCTTCTCTACCTAAGTTGAATGTGTGTACATGACAGTCTAAGATTAACTTTTGTCTGTTGAATTTGCTGATGGCAGCTGCAGTAATTCATAGCTTTATTTTATGTTCAAAATATTTTCAGAGCTGGCCAGCATGGCAGCATGCTTGTCCACGCTGGCGGCTTGAGTTATTTTATTTCTGGCTGCACTTCGACAAATGGGACAGTAAAGACAAGATGGTCCTTCAGCCGTTCACAGAGAAAGGATTACAGAGGGGCTGAGGTTACTGCAGTACAAAGAACTGAGCTGTGCCTCCAGAAGTCCATAGGTCTCATGTAGGTGGGGACGCAGCAATATGGCTTTCAGTGTGGGTCTAGCTTTGCAATGTGGCTCTTTGCACCTGGCCCAGGAACTGAAGCCCAGGTGTCACCCGAGTTAACTTGACAGTGAGGACATGCCCTCATGTACTTGGAACACAAACACATAGAACAAGGAAATCAACTTATTTCAGTGACTTTCTGGGTAGGTGTGAACCAAGCCCACACCGCCATGTCCTGGCAAGGATGTTCCTGAACACACCCACTCCCAGTCTCACTCTCCCCAGACCCAGAAATGTGGTGATGAAGCCATTCCACAACATGTACCACAGCTGGTCCTAAGACTTTGGGATCTAGCATTCTGGCATGTAGATGCTGGGGATGCCACAAGAGGCTTCACTGACACAATCCTGGGTTTTATGGGAGTGGTGCACAGGGCGTATGCATGAGCAGGCATTCCTGGCAGCACTGGGGACACAACCTTAGTCATTCTTGAGCTAGGTTGGATTTCTCAGCAACCTTAGGGTGCATAAAACAATACCAGGCATTGTCCAGCGTTTTGTGGAGGCTGCAGGCAGATGAGCAAGGCAGGCTGTTGTTTCAAACTTCAGTCCTTCTAACAGCTAACAGCTTTTAAAAGAAGTGAAAGAAATAATCCCGGTTCTAATATTCTTGTAAAATCATTCTGGCGCCGTGAAAGTTTATTACCATTTCCCCCAGGAGAAACAGGCAGGGCTGGCATAACTGCCAGGCAGCACAGGCAGCCGCCTAGGGTGGCAAATTGAAGGGGAGCAGCACACACCTCGCACATACGGAGAGCTGCCTTGGGCATCTGGACATGGTCAGAGGCGAGCAGGGCAGCTCTGGCACTGCTGAGCTACTGCTCCAGGGTGCTGTCGGGTGCCCGCCCTCACCAGGTCCCAGGTATGTTACGAGGGAAGGTGGCAACATTTTGCTTGCCTAGGACACCAAAAGTCCTTGCATTGCTCCTGGACACATGCGTGCTAATCAGTAGACACAGCTCAGTGGCAGATCCGCACTTTACTGGGGGAGTTAGTGTTATGCACTTGGTGAGGGGCAGGTTTGCTACTGACGGCATCATCCTATTTCCAAGGTACGACCTAACCTCTGGAGACATCGTGAAAATGATTTAGTTTAGTTGTCTCCTAGATGTTGGTTTGCTTCTTTTTCGTTAGCAATCTGCTCATTACTCTGATTAAATTACACAGGGAATAAATCACTGCCCCATGAAAAGTACATAATCAAACAGATAAGTCTTGCATTTCACCCTGGTCTCTGACTCTCACACATGACTTTGCATGTGAATGTTTAAGACCTGTATGCCCTATATTTTTCACTTTAATACTGCAATTAATCACATTATATAACCAGCCTACTGCTGTTTCTAATTAAATTTTTTAGCAAAAAAACAAACAAACCCTGCATTTAAATAACGCAAAGGGTCAGTCTTGGAATGACAATGCCAGGAAATTCAGAGGGGAGGCTTACACTCCATCCTCCCATCACCCCCATGTGCCTAAGGACTGCAGCACATACAGCGTGTTATGTAACATCCAACACTCATTTCTGACTCACGCACACTTACCTCACAATGGGACACACTAAATATAGACTTTCATTCTTAACTGTGAAGAACCTGGCTCTTTCTCCTTCCCAAGAAGACCCTGGATAGGATTTAAATAGAGCAGACTTGTACTTTATTTCCTATTCATTCCCCCCCGCCCCCAGTTCACTCTCATGCAGCTGTTATTTATTTATTTATTTATCTATCATTTTTATAGCCTCTGAGATCATACTAGGTGCATCCAAAAAGGGATAAAAAAAAGAGGATCCCGTTCCCAAATCTCATGCAAACTGCCAGCAGATACGATGCCATGGGAAGTAAAACTAGACAGGGAGGGGCTGGAGGAAGGGTGGAGAATTGTGGTTGATCACACTGATAACTATGTAGTGCATCATGCAAAGTCTCCTGAGGGGTGCTTATAAATGACATTTGCCAATGGAGGGCTGCCTAGGCATGTGTGCACAGAGGAAGTCTTCAGAAAGGCCAGAAATTTAACCCATGGGCGGCTGGATCCATGTGACTATATGACCCTTTGCCCTGTGATTCTGGCTCTGAGGGGACCACGCCTTAGCGAATGAAGGGGAAACGGCCTGGGATTTAAGATGCCTGAATCCTAGTTGGAGCTATGGAAAGGAAGGTAGTCAATGGGCACACAGGACTCCTGTTTGTACTGTTACTTTTGTTAGAGGTGAAACATTGATATTTGGCTTTTGTGTATTCTGCCTGCCTAGGTTAGGAGCAGAACAGTGTCCTAAGCATGTTTCATCCTGTTTGGGAGCTTTGTGTGGGCTCAGATCCTGGAGGCTTTTCTCAGCTGGTTGGCAAGTTTCTGCTGTGGCTGGGTTGCCAGC